TTTGTAATATAACGTGGTATCTGGTTTTGCGAGCGGGTCCAACTTTGTTCATCTTTCTCAAGATTGCTGTGTCTATTCAGGGTCTTTTTAGGTTCCATATAAATTTTTGGAGTGTTTGTTCTAGGTCTGTGAAATACGGATTGCATTGAATCTCTAGATTGCTTTGCATAGTATGGACATTTTAATAATGTTGATACTACCAATCCATGAACATGGTATATTCTTCCACTTGCTTATATCTTCCTCTGTCTCTTTTTTCAACGTGCTGTAGTTTTCTGAGTACAGATCTTTTACCTCCTTGGTTAAGTTTATTCCTAGATATCTTAACTTTGTCGTTGCAATGGTAAATGGGATTTTTAAATTTTTTTTTTGTTTCTCTTTCTGAGAGTTCATTCTTAGTGTATAAAAATGCCATCGATTTCTGGGTACACCTTGGCTTCTTTATTCTTCTAGTCCCCCCTCCCCTGCCCCCAAAAGGTAGGTTTTATTGCTGATTCCATTGTGAGGACAAAATGAGGAAGTTACAGTAAACGCTCACTCACAAGGGCCTGGCGGAGCGTGAATCCTCCGAGCTGCTCTTCAATTCCTGCGCGCTGAGGTTGCATCTGGGGCTCGGGGTCACCCCGCTGACTCAAAAAGCCTCCAAAAACAGGGCTGCCTATGCAACTCTGGTTCCAAAACAAATACCCTGGGCCGCAGAATAAGCTGAAAAGGTGAAAAAGACGGCGCAGTATTTATGAGTCTGAACTTCAGTAGAATCTGACCAGTTCTCAGGAACACGGGGGAACCCCATCGCCGACTGTCAAGATTTTACCCAATTTTCTAGAAACATCTACAGGGCAAGAGGCCCGCTCCTATGTTCTCCCAAATTTCAAAAGACACGTCTAAGGCCTGCGGCGCCAGGTGCTCCGAGGGCACTCGAGGAATTGTTGACTCACTAGGTGAAAGGTCACCGTGGAAGGAACTGAACCTGCCCGTCTGCCGTGTTGGGAGCCACCTGTGTCTGCTTCCTTCTGCGTGATTTGAGTCTCATGTTCACAGCGTCATGCTTTCCTGCGGGGTCTCAGTGGGCAGCCATGAGAGGGAGAATGGGTTGAACCTATTGTCGTTCTGATGGAATTTTAAGCCAGTGAAGTAGCGCTGTTCTTGCACAGTGACATAGCATCCAGTTGACCTCTATTCAACAGGGTGTGTGGGTGAAAGAGGTGGCCCCAAGAACAAAGCGATTTGGGTTGTCTTCCCAGCCGGGGTGACTGCGATGTCTGGGACCAAAAGTTTTGGGGGGCCCTGGGCCAATGCTGGGGTCTTTCAGGGAACAGAGCAGAGAGGGGGCAGAATTACAGAAGACAGGCTTGGCATTTATCCATCTCACCAAACGTGGTCATTCTTGGTGATATTTAGACTCCGATTTGAGTGTCTTGTGTTGTCAATAGAACAACTAATTTCCTGATAAAAAATATCAGGCACCATCTTTTCTGATAAAAAATATCACAATGAGCCAGTTGGCGTGGCCCAGCGGTTGAGCGTCAGCCTCTGAACCAGGAGGTCAGGGTTCGATTCCCGGTCAGGGCGCATGCCTGGGTTGCAGGTTTGATCCCCAGTGTGGGACGTGCAGGAGGCAGCCAATCCATGATTCTCTCTCATCACTGATGTTTCTGTCTCTCTCTCCCTCTCCCTTGCTCTCTCTGGAATCAATAAAAATATGTATTTAAAAAACAAACAAAATATCACACTGATAGGTGAAAAAAAAAGTATATGGCTATTTTATGGCAAAACAGACTCATCGTCAAAAATGTTTGAATGGTGACATTTGGAAAAGAATTCTATTTTCAGCAGCTGTAAAACCCGAATGCATGACACATTCTAGGGCACAGCGCTTGGTTATGTAAAATATCCGATTGTCTCCCCTCGGAGACGGTCAAGGGTTTCACTGCTCATTTCAACAATTTAATTGCGAAGGATAAAGAGCCATTTATTGTTTTTATGAGGGTGGTTGTAACAAGCCACTTGCCTTTCCAGTCAGTGGAAGTCACGAGGGAGTACCAGGCCTGCATTTTTTTCCCCTCTGACCCGGAATGCCTCCCGCTAATGAAAATCAGTAGGAAGACAGCACAGGCAACGTCACTCCAGAACATGCCGACATTTAGAGCCCGCAGCTTCTTAACCCGAAGAGGAAGCTGTCTTTGCTGTTGGCCGGGGGCCTTTTATCTGTGCCTCTCAGGCTCAGTCAATGCTAATGCTTCCCTTTATGAAAACCTCACAGGTTGAAACTTTGTAAGGTGTTAAAATGCCTGCTTCCGTTGTCATTGTCATTGTCGCTGTGAAAATGCTTGCCCTACCTGGCACGGGGTCACGGAAAGAAAGAAGACACAAAATTATTTTTGAGCAAAAGGGGCATCATTCTGATTAGCCACCCTTACGTTTCTTTCTAAAAGGAATTGAGTAACGTACCTGCTGTTTCTGTCCTCTCCGTTGTGACATTTCAGCAGTTTCGTTAGGAAGGAGAGATAGTGGCACCTTAAGTTAGTTACGTAGTAAGTGAAGATGTAATAATGAGGAAAGAGTGGGCTGTTTTGTTGGTATTTCCTGAACGTATCCGTGGAGCCAACGTCTACCTTTGTGGTTCTACCAGGATTACATTTGGGAAATACCAACCCACTTAGATCCATGAGGACAGAACACGGGCTTTGCTGGGGGACGGTCCGAGATCGGGTCTGAGTGCCGTTATGCGCCCGCTGTTTGGTCTTTGAGGAATGACTGGCGTAAATAGGACGATGCCCGCGCCCTGCACCGTTGGGGGGGGGAGGGCGGGCAGGAGCAGGAGGGACCGCAGGGAGGGCTGGTGGAAGCCACGAGTGCGGTCTGTTCTTTAAGGTTAAGTTCATAAGGAAAATGCTTCCAAAACTTGCCCCGGGAACACTCAGATGTCCCATCTGCAATCCCCAAAGGCCCCGCGCCCTCCTCCCGGACGCAGACAGACTCACCACACCACCCGCTGCCATGCCCGCTCTTCAAACCTCTCCGCCAAAGGCATCTCCGTTGTGAAACTGTTGCAAGCAGCAGAAATCCCTCTGTGTTTTCTCCAGGCCAATACCTATGTTTTCTTTCTTTATTTTTTAAAAATATAATTTTACTGATTTCAGAGAGGAAGGGAGAGTGTGAGAGAGAGAAACATCAATGATGAGAGAGAATCAGTGATCTGCTGCCTCCTGCACGCCCCCCACTGGGGATCGAGCCCACAACCCGGGCCTGTGCCCTGACCGGGAATCGAACTGTGACCTCCTGGTTCATAGGTCACCGCTCAGCCACTGAGACGCGTGGCTGGGCGTGATCCTGATGTTTTCAATTCCTCTTATGGTCACTCCCCCTCTGGTTCGCTCGGCCTCCCCGGAGCTGGAGGCACCATGAGTGTCTGCTAGGCCCCGGATGGACGGGAACTGCTCTCCCCACATCACTGCCGTGTTAGATTGAAGCTTCCGGGCACGGTGCTCATCTTCAGTTCTCGCTCAGGAGACTGGGCACCGTGTTTCTTCCCCATCCCATCCCGTGCCTGGAGCCTCTCTGTTCAAAGGCCTGTCCTGGTCCCCTCTGGCCGACCACCGTCCTCTCCCGGTTGCTGTGCTCTCTCTGCCCTCCCTGTGTCCCATCCCCCCCCCCCCAACACCTGTGCCCGCTCTGTGTGCCTTTAGGAATCAACTGGGCAGTCTCTGCGCCTGCTGTGCCCAGACACACCTCCGCGGGAGCGAGCAGTTATTAGGTTGGACAGCAATGACCCTTAGGAAGATCCGTGCATGTTTGTGCTTCTAGCACCTGACAGCGCTCACAAGTGTTTGTTAAAAGGCCAGATGACTGCGTTGTTCTTTAGAAAGGGGCTGTCGGCTTGTCTTAAACATGGCCGAGTGACTCTTCTTCTGTTTTCTGTAGATCTGATCGCCATGGCGCCCACATTCCTGATTCTCTTGGGGGCCGCCGTCGCACTGGGAGCCGACGTACGTCCTGATAAAAACTGTAAGTGCCACCTATTGAAGTCAGTCATGTCTCTTCAGAAACGGAGCTCATTGCAGAAGTGCTAGCGTGGTTTTCTGCGGAAGGGTCCCTCAACGCGGAAATTATACGTGGATTAAAAAAAAAAAAGTGGTAGAGTATTCGTCCTCAGAATGCAAACTCTTGAAACATGCTGGATCTTGAGAAAGCAAATTTGAGGCTGCCGTGGGAAGTCCTTCTGCCAGTGTGGGGGCTCGGGCCCCACAAAATACAGCCAGGGAAGAAAGGCTTTTCCCGGCAAGGCACCGGTTAGGAGCCCCACAAGCCGAGAATAACTACCTGCCCCGGTGTTTGCTGGGAATGTGTGGACCATGGGCTGGTGTGAGGTCACAGTCCCGTGGCCCCACCTGGTGGGCCTGAGGGAATAACTCCCTGTGGTGGTGTCAGCGACTTACATCTGCGCCGTCCACTGCAGGAGCCACTGGCCATTGGTGGCTACTGAGCACCTGAAATATGGCTCCTGCACCAGAGGCAAGGAAGGTTTTATTATTTTTAAAAATAATTTCTTTTATTGATTTCAGAGAGGAAGGGCGAGGGAGAGTTAGAGACATCAAGGGTGAGAGAGAATCATGGATTGGCTGCCTCCTGCATGCCCCCTACTGGGGATCCAGCCCACAACCCGGGTGTGTGCCCCGACTGCAAATTGGACTGTGACCTCCTGGTTCATAGATCAATGTGCAACCATTGAGCCACACCGGCTGGGCTGAAACTATGTTTCTAATAAATAAAGATACAGTAAAATATTCATAATTCACAAAAGATCTGTAGATGTCATAGGTGAACATCTGGGCAAAGTAAAACAAAAGGATAATGAGTTAAAAGCAGCTTTGAAGGCACTTCCTCCAGAATCAGGTCAGTTCTGTGCCCTCTAAGAGCCGGTCAAACGCCGCCCTGCACAGAAAGCAGTTCACAGCTCTAGGCAGCGCGGCCGTGGACACTGACCCTGCCCTCCTCGTGGACACTGACCCTGCCCTCCTCCTCCTGACCAGCCTCACTCCTCCCGCCCGTCAATTTCACCGTTCACGCCGTGGGTTTGGCGCAAGTGCTCTTACGCTGGGACCCGCAAGCTCGGCTACCGCGTGAAGATCCACGCGCCGGAGGACGAGGAAGTGAGTGCGCACCCGACGGCCCTCCCCTTTAGAGTCACGTTAACCTCCACGGCCCTTCCCTTATCCCAGGGAACGTCCCCGCGACAACACGGCCGCGGGCTCTGCCCCACGCTCCCCTGGAGCAGCGGCTCCGTGGGAATGCCGGGGAGCCAGCCGGGCCCGCGCAGGCCATGGGGCAGCCCAGGACGTCTGAACGTTGGGGCGATTCTTTCTCTTACAAAAGAACGTTTAGTAGCGTCTGAGGTGCCGTGGACTGGATGTCGGTTTTATGTTTTTCTCTAAAATAGCCCACGAAGTGGAAGAGGCTGGCTGAGTAAAACGGGGTGGGGGAGGGCGGATGACCGCACCAAAGGCCAAGTTCAAATCCCGGTTCCTACTTTTGCAACCGTAGACCAGACACTTAACATCTCAGGCCCCAGCCAGGTTCCCTGCGGGTCATGTTAGAGCGCCTGGAACCTAGCAGGCGCCCAATAAAGGTACACGGAGGGTGCAACATCGCCGAGCGCTCCCACGCTCAGTCAGTATGCATTCTAGAGACTTCTATGTGAGGAAGGGGCCTCCGGGAGGACACAGAGGGAGAGTCGGTGGTCAGAGGGAGCGGGGCCGGTGTGTCAGCTTTTGTTGGTTTTTATAAGAAGAACGAGGGGCCCGGTGCACGAATTCATGCACGGGTGGGGTCCCTCGGCCTGGCCAGCGATCAGGGCCAATCGAGACCTGCCGGCTGGGGGAAGGGACCGCGGGAGGTTGGCTGTGGGAGCGCACCGACCACCAGGGTGCAGCTCCTGCATTGAGCATCTGTCCCCTGGTGGTCAGTGCGTTGTCATAGTGACCGGTTGACCAGTTGTAATGGTCACTTAGGCTTTTATATATGTAGATGTGTTTGTGTATCTTTGAGAAAATGATTATGATGTTTTCATTACATGGGTTTTTTAAACCAGGTATAAATACTAGACTTGGGTAACATTCATTTTGTAATAATTGCTTTATGGAGGGGTGGCTGCTGGGTAAAAAGCTGTCCAGATTTACGGTATACAACGTACTGAGTTCAGGGGTGAGGAAAGACTCTGGGGCCGTGGGCTTTTTAGCAAACATATTGCATTTTATGTGCCATTTAAGAATCAGAAGAAAATGCGTATTTGATTAAAATAGTTCATGTCAGGCTATTTCCCTTTTACAAACCAGGACCCCTGGGTTTTATTTTTAGTACGAAACCAAGAACACGGAGAGCAAACGGGCGGCCGCGCTTCACCGCGGCTTCTCGGCCAGCGTGCGGACGGTCCCCTGGGAAGAGCCCTCCCTCCTGGCGAGCGACTGGGTGTCCGCTGAGCTCCCGCCCCCCCCAGGTGAGGCCCCTGAAGCCCAGGTGCACGCGCGGCCTTTGTAGGTGGGGGGCAGCCGGACGAAGAGCTCACGTGTCCCGGGTCACACGAGCCCCCCAGCCCTCTTCCCACCAGTCACACCCTCACCAAGGCTGACCCCAGCAAGTCAGCCCGTTGCACACAGTAGGTTCCATAATACGTGGCGACAATTCCTTTTCCTTTTCGGCCTCACCTGTATTTCTCCCAGTGGTCGTGGGAGGGAGGGAGGAGGAGAGAGGGAGAGAAACACGTGTGAGACAGATACAGCGATGGGGTGCCTCCCGCATGTGCCCCAACTGGTGCCAGGGATGGAACCTGCAGCCCAAACACGTGCCCTTGACCAGGAATCGAACCTGCCACCCTTTGGTCTGCGGGTTCTAACCACTGAGCGACTGGCCAGGGTGACAATCCCTTTTTGAAGACGGAGGAGCTGTCCCCCACCCCTGTGGTTTCCGGGGAAGTACAGGACACGGGAGCTGTCGCCACAACGTCTCGTTCTTTCCATTCGCCGCCGTCCAGGGTCTCCTGGGACCGCCGCGGTGAACCTGACCTGCTCCACCAGCACCGTGGCGAGCAACGGGACACGCGCCCGGCCCTACCACGTCTCTCTGCGCTGCGCCTGGCTGGGGGGCGCCCAGGCCCCCGAGGACACGCAGTACTTCCTCCGCTACAGGTGGGCGGCGCTGTCCCTGGGCGCGTGGCCGCTGCCCCCGCCTCGCACACTCACGCGTGTCGCCCTGCAGGTACGGCGCGCGGACGGAGGAGTGTCGCCGGTACAGCCAGGACCCGCGGCAGAGGAACGTGGCCTGCTGGTTCCCGCGGACGGGCATCGACGCCAAAGGGCGGGACCGGCTCGCCGTGCAGGTCAGCGGCTCCAGCGCCCGCGCGGCCATCCAGCCGTACGACAGGCTGTTTGCTCTTCACGCGATCGGTGAGACGGCACAGACCGAGGCGCAGCCCGGGAGGGTTGTTAGTTTGACTCCTTTTCTTCTTCTTTTTTTTTTGTTAATCTCCACCCAGGGATATTTTCCCCATTGAATTTTAGAGAGAGTGGAAGGGAGGGGGTAAGAGAGAACGAGAGAGAGAAACATCAATGTGAGAGAGACACACTGATTGGTTGCCTCCCAACCCTAAGCCTAACCCTCCTGCATACACCCAACCAGGCTGGGACTGAACCTGCCACCCAGGTGCATGACCTTGACCAGGAATCGAACCCAAGACCCTTCGGTCTGCGGGCCGAAGCTCTAACCACTGAACACACCAGCTGGGGCTTCACTCCTTTTCTGATGCCCGCGGGGACCAGGCTTCTCGGCCTCTGCACCCTGACATGTTTGGCCGGATGGTGGCATTGTGGGCCAGACTGGGTATTGTGGGGCTGGGCTGTGGTGTTAGGGAACCAATGGCAGTGTTGGGGGGCCGGATGGTGGTGTTGGGGGCCAGATGGTGGTGTTGGGGGCTGGATGGTGTTGGGGGGCTGATGGTGGTGTTGGGGGCCAGATGGTGATGTTGGGGGCCAGATGGTGGTGTTGGGGGCCGGATGGTGTTGGGGGG